AAAGAAGTATTAGTTGGTACAGTTCCATCCTATTTCAGTAAACGCATGTAAATGTATAGGAAACTACCGCAAGGTAAGGTGTAAACATCTTCATTTTCTATTGGAATGCGTATGGTATCATTACTTTTAAAAGTTGAATTAGCATAGGGTTAACGAGTATGTTTATCAGCGTTAATAATAGCGTTGTCGAAGACTGCTTTCTCGGTGACATTTAGTATTTCTGCAACCACTTTAACTTTTCACCTTTTTCAATCGCAACCTCAAAGATTTAAGGAACTGTTTATTAGACGGTGTTAATCGCTGAACGGGTGTAAGCGAAATAAACGTCTCAGAGTATGGTGATCGTTTTATAGTAGTATTTTTGTTCGAATAACGTTGGACACAGTTGTATCGTGCAACCATGTTATAGTTTCCGTAAGTAAAGTCTTACTGTAACACGCTCTCCACGGAAATTAACAAGATTACCGTCTTGATCAACTATTTTAAGGGAAATGTAATCGATGACACGTGTGTTGATAGATAAATATATAAGACTTGTGGGATTCTCTACAATTTTAAATCCGGGAGGTACATTTGGAAAGAATTGATGTAATATATGTCCATCTTGTCCTTTAGTAGCATCATTAGTATGTATATAGGAGTTAGATACAAGGTTACATGTTACTGAAATTGCGTTTACCTTGAAAATGTCAGCTACATGATCGGACTCCTCTTGAAGCGATGATAGAAGTTTATTTTCAAAACCCAATATCTTCGCCGGAGAATCTGTTGGAGTAAAGTCAACATTTTTGGTACTCTTTATACGACTTTTTAATGTAGTATTGTCTCCAGACAAGTGAATGCTATCATTAGTATCTCCCAATTTCTCCTGAAGAAAATTATTAATATCATCAATTTCATATGATCCTTCCGGAAGAACTACGACTGGTTTCTTAGAATCTTCAAAATAAAATTTGTTGTTATTTTCATCAATATTGGGAATGCTGTTGTAGGCTTCAAAATT